GCCGCTCCGCGGCATGTGGGATCTTCCCGGACCGGGGCACGAACCCGTGTCCCCTGCATCGGCAGGCGGACTTTCAACAACTGCGCCACCAGGGAAGCCCTAATTTTAATTTAAATAACTCTATTATACTTTACCTTCTTTCTTTCTCTCCTTCCTTCCCTCCTTTAGACAACGAAATCATCCCAAATTGAGGAGGTGGACTTGGAGAGCAAGTTTTATGATTTTTTTCCCCTTCACCTCTTTTTGTGAGGATATATGTGTATACTTCTATGTAAGATTTTGTCTCTATAGCTTTGCTTCACCATTTGTCCTAAGGTTCTATCCGTCCTTTTTTTTCTCTAATTATTTTATTTTGTTATTATTATTTTTTTTTCCGGTACGCGGGCCTCTCACTGTTGTGGCCTCACACAGGTTCCGGACGCGCAGGCTCAGCGGCCATGGCTCACGGGCCCAGCCGCTCCGCGGCATGTGGGATCTTCCCGGACCGGGGCACGAACCAGAGTCCCCTGCATCGGCAGGCGGACTCTCAACCACTGCGCCACCAGGGAAGCCCTGTTTTGCATATTTTATAAGCTACCTCAACCCTGATATGGAACCAGGTGAGGAACAAGTGAATTGGTAAGTAAATCTTCACAGGGAAGGGTGGTCAGCTGTTCATGGGAGCAATTGCAAAGAATCTGACTTTCTTTCCAGCACACTAAATCGTACTGAGATTCTGTTCTGGGTTTTCCTAAGAGGCGCAAATACTATGTCAGTGAGTTTCAGAGAGTCCACTGCTTCCAGGAGGCAAGAGGTTTGGCCTGACTGGTGTAAACATTAATAAACAGAAACCTCAATTGCAATAGAGTCAGGACACATTGAAATAGAAATAAAATAAATTTTACAAAAATAAGGAAAATTACATTTCTTGCACACAATTTGTGAACTCACTCTCCACAGCAAAATGTGTTTTTTATCTCTGACAGAGGACAGTCCAGTTAACTGTTCCTGAAATGTAGCCCAGACTCCAGAGTGGGCCTCTCAGAAGCAAATTTGCTGGCACAGAGGAGTAGCCCAGGGTCCCCAATTTCTCTAGTTTGTTAAAAGGGTGTGGATTCCAGGTCATAAGTAAGTTTATGACTTCAAAATTCATCCAAGAGAATGTCTCACAAATAATTTCTATCTGTATTATTCCACAGAAAGATTTTCCACAATAAATGGAATGAATTTAATAATGTGATGAAAATATATTTCAGAGATGAACGACAACGGATGATAATGAGGTTTACTTACAAATAATCCCAGAAGAATGTAATTCGCAGGCACCTGGCAGTGGAGCTTCCCACAGCAAGCAAGTATAATAAATACAACAAAAAATGCTGGCCTGGGGATAATTTAAAACCATGTGTTATTTGCTTATATCGTATGATATATTACAGGTAGATAGATATAGAGATGTATTATCTGATAATAAGTATTATAAACAAAAATGTAGATAATTACCTTTACCTCTTTTTTTTTTTTTTTTTTTTGCTTTTAAAATTAACTTTTCTCATTGCCATCCATACACAGCTTGTGGGTTCTTTTTTCAAATTTTTTATTTTGAAATACTTGTAGATTCACAGGAAACTTCAAGGGAACAGAGGTCCTGTGTACCCTTTGCTCAGTTTCCCCCCATATTACATATTTAAAGTAGAATACCCAAACCAGTAATGTAACATTGGTACAGCATGTATATACGTAATGCTATGTCATAGACCTATGATGCAAATCTATGTGCAGATCCATGTAACCAGCACCACAATCAAGATGTGGAACTATCTCATCATTAAGATATCCTACCATCCCATTATGGTAATCCTCCCACTATGGTAACACACACACACACACACACACACACACACACACACACACACACAAACCCCTAACTCCCAGCAAGCACTAATTTGCTTATTTTCCATCTATAATTTTGTCATTTCAAGAATGTTATACCTCGGGACTTCCCTGGTGGCGCAGTGGTTAAGAATCCACCTGCCAATGCAAGGGACACAGGTTCAAGCCCTGGTCCAGGAAGATCCCACATGCTGAGGAGCAACTAAGCCCGTGCACCACAACTACTGAGCCTGTGCTCTGCAGCCCGCGAGCCACAGTTACTGAGCCCGCATGCCACAACTACTGAAACCTATGCGCCTAGAGCCCGTGCTCTGCAACAAGAGAAGCCACCGCAATGAGAAGCCCACACACCACAATGATGAGTAGCCCCAACTTGCCGCAACTACAGAAAGCCCACGTGTAGCAACAAAGACCCAACATAGCCAAAAATTAATTAATTAATTAATTTCAAAAAAGAATGTTATACCTTTACCTAATTTTTAATAAGGACATCAATCAATAGCTAGTGGAAAAAACTTTTAATTTAATCCAATAATACTTACAAGAGTGCATAGGTGAACCAGGGATTCTTGACCACCCAAACTCTTAAAGCCTTCCTGGTTAAAAAAATAATAGTTTTACACAATAAGTAGCTTATTTTGCTAACTAGTGTAATATTTAAGTAGAAGTTAAACAATCTCATGAGAAGAAAGGGGGGAAACCCTAAATGGTTGACAATGACAGATGGGAAAGGAAACAGTAAAACATAAAACTGTATCTTGCTTCTTAAAATAGATTCACAAAAAAGTACAGTCTTAAGTTGTAAGTGAAATTTGGATAAATGCAAATGTCCTAGTGAAGTTTTAATTTTTAAAAATACTGAGATTGATATGTACACAAAGCAAAAGTAATCAAATTCTCATATGTTTGTTTGTAAACACAGATTTTCAAAGGATGGGTTTAAGCCATGATGGATCATAGTCCCTGAAATAATTTCTGCATTTAACAGAGCTCCAGCCTCCAAGGCCTCCATCGTCTCACCTTTCTTCCTTTACCCAATTTTATCTGTGGAAATAGCTTGGGGAAAATAAAAAAGAAAATAGTGCCCAAAATAAGGGAAAATTCTTAGCTTAGGAAGTTAAACTCCAGAAATCTACCAACACCTTCGTCTAGAAGTTGCCTCAGAAAAACAAAGCGACAGAAATATTATATGCTATGAATGATTAAGGAAAAATAGATAATCTTTTAATGATAAAAATTAAATTGAGCTATTCAGTGAGAATTAATATGGGCAGCTTCATACTTAATTTACATCAGTAATAAAGACTTACCAGAAAAGAAACAGGCTGATGATTGCCCCAGTGATCAGCAGCTGAACTGACAGGAGGAAGAACACTTTTACGATGAAATCTGAGGAGACAGAAACCTTATTTTTATGACACAATATTCAAAAGTAAAAATATAAATGTAATTACCTATTTTTGACACTTAATGAAGGAAAATTTTCCTCTGATTTTTTTGATGATAGGAAAGGGAGTGCTAGTTTAGAGTTGGCCAATAGAGTGACAACAATACAGCTCTGCAGAACTCTCGGAAAAGACTCAGTCCAGACTGTTAGAGGCATTTTATTGAAGATCTGAGGGTTTATCCATGAAAGCCCCCAAATTTTAAAGACCAAACTCAGGGATTTAATTTCTTATTATGGACACCCCATCCTCCTTAGGACCAAAAGTGACCTGAAAGTCTCAGAATGTTGCAAACCCATCATTAGGGATTCAGCTGCATCCCTGCATAGATGGAGCCCAGTGATGCCCTAAGGACTACCAGGGTAGAGGGCGTTTACCCCTCTGCAGAGGAACTTGGGCTGCAGGGAGTTTGCAAAGCTTCTCCCTGCCTTTAGCAACTCCCTTCCCTCCTGCTTGTGCAGAAACTTGATAACCTGACGAATTGTTAAGTATGACCAAGGAGTTCCAAGTCAATGGCATGCCAAAGCAGAGTGCAGAGCGTGTTGGCATCTCTGTTTGCTTACTTCCAGCTGACTACACAGGTTTTCCTGGAGCCCTCGGAATATGACACCAGTGATGACCATTTACTTTTTTGTGGCCTTATCCCAGTTTTAAAAGAAAAAAAAAGAAAGAATGCTGCTTAAAGTTGACTTACAGGATTGTCAACTGTGTCCTTCTGCTGGGCAGTTTCTGTGCATTTTAAGTGTAACAACAAAGAAATAGGACTGAGGTATCTTAATCAAAATGCCAGAACGTATGTGTGCTGCCTACATTAAAATATCCACTTACTTAACATTAAATTCACATCTAGTATGTATCAAGGACTGTGAGGGAATAGATGTTAAATGTCGTCCAGCCACATAAGACTAGACATATAGATTGATGAAGTAGAATTGAGAGCCCTAAAATAGTCCCTTACATTTGTGGTCAATCCTACAAATATGGTCAATTGATTTCTAACAAACATACTAGAACAAGTCAATGGAGAAAGATGAGTCTTTTCAACAAATTGTGCTGGAACAATTGGACATACACATATAAAATGATGAATTTGGGCCCCTTTCTCATATCATACATACACAAAAGTTAATTAGTTAAACATGGATCATAGACATAAACATAAGAAATATAATTCTTGGAAGAAAGCATAGGTGTAAATCTTTGTGAGCATGGATTAGGCAATGATTTTTTTAGATATGATACCTAAAACACAAGCAAAGAAAAAAAAACAAATAAATTGATTTCATCAAAAGTAAAAGCTTTGTGCTTCAAATGACACCTTCAGAAAGTAAAAGAAAACCCACAAACTTGCAGAAAATATTTGCATCTCATGTATCTAAACAGGGATCTAATACATAAAGAACACTTACAATCCAATTACAAGAAGACAAATAAGAATTTAAATTGAGCAAAACCTGTGGAGTGCCCTCCCACATTGACGCTGGGCTTGGCCACATGACATGTTGGCCAGTGAGACATTAGCACTGGCTTGATTAATAGAGACTTGATAAATGCTTACACAGTGGGGCTTGTCCATCTGGTCTACCTCTTCTTGGGACCCAGCCCCATGTGATGAGAAGCTCAAGCCACAAGAAGAGAGCCAACAACCAACACAAACTGCCATCCATGTCAGGGAGTCATAATGGCCATTGCAGCCTCAGCTGCCAACTAAGAGCTCCAGAAGGCCTCTTTCCAGCCACAAGGTAGAGGGTGAGGGCCACAGGGAGACAGCAATGAGATTCAAAGTTCACAGTCAATCTTCAAGTCATCCAGGTCCTAAGAAGGCATAAAGGTGGTAGAGTGTTCACTGGGGACCTAAGCATTTGCCTTAAATTGCCTACCTTCCAACTTCATATTTTATGAAAGAAAAAAAATTCTCATTTATTTAAGCCACAGTTTTTCGGACTTCTGTTACAGCTGAATGTATTTCCTATACAGAATTAATATGTAGGGCTCTGAATTAGTATTGTCTAAAACTTAAGCCAATATCATGGTATCATCTTGTATGTAGGTAAGAACATTCTACATTCAATGACTAATTCACGTTTCCTAAGAAAACCACAAGTTATTCACCATAATATGTGTATCATGAATTTATGAATGCCCTGGAAAACTTGGGGACCATCTGTTATTGCAACCCTATGTCATGTTTCATGGTAAAGCATGACCAGGAAAAAACTAAAAGCAAAATTAAATCCTACAATCCACCCTGTGTAAACATTTTAAGAGAACTTTTCTCTTCCGAAAAGGTCATTTCTTTATTCTCACCTCTGCGGATAGCTGCTTCTGAGAATGGGCCAGATAAAGGATTGCTGTCCTCTGTGGTGGTCTCTGCTGAAATTTCTACCACATAGGTATCCCCTCGCTCACCAGCTTTGGAGCGTGGATTCCCATGAGTTTGTTGTGGCCCATGAGTTGAAGATGAAGTTCTGTAGGACCGAGCAGACTTGCTCTGGATAGTATCATCTGCTGCTTTCTGAACCAGATGTTGATGATCTCCAGAACTAAAGTCTATTGGTTCACTGACCTCCAAGTCCATTTTCCTAGAAAGGGAAAATTGTTATTCAGGTCCTTATGATCATACAACTATAACCTTAGCATCTTCATAACATTAGATGATTTTTTTTCTTAATTTCAACTCCTTGGTTCAGTACTTCCCAAGTCAGTGCTCAACACATATTTGTTGAATGAATGATGAACAAATACTTTTTTTTTTTTTTGCAGTACGTGGGCCTCTCACTATTTTGGCCTCTCCCATTGCAGAGCACAGGCTCCGGACGCACCGGCTCAGCGGCCATGGCTCATGGGCCTAGCCGCTCCGCGGCATGTGGGATCTTCCCGGACCGGGGCATGAACCCATGTCCCCTGCATCGGCAGGCGGACTCTCAACCACTGCGCCACCAGGGAAGCCCACAAATACTTTTAATATGAGGCCTACAGAGTAAAATAACTTGCATCCTATTATGAAATTAATGTTGATGAATTCATTCTACAAGGAGTTAATAAACTCCCTCTTGTGTGGAGCTGCCCTTGTCACCTTTGCCCTCAAAGAGCTTACATTTTGGGAGAGAAGATAATCAAATAAGCAATAATATAAAAGGCAATATAAGCAGGGCCAGAAACAATGGAGGATGTTATAAGAGCAAAAAAGTCTGGGAAAAGATGCAGGGAGTAGAAAAGGTTGTCCAAACCTTCCAGAGAAAGTGAGGTTTAAGCCAAGGCTGGAAGATGAAGAGGAGTTAGTCAGTAGGGAAAGGTTTTCTCAGGCAGAGGAATCAGCCTGGACCAGGACTGGAGGAAGCAGAGAGGGCAGGCTCCAGAAACTGAAAGAAGTTCATGTGGCTGGAGTAGGGAGTTCAAAGGGGAAAGCAGAGTGAGTTTAGACAGGAGAGTAGTGGGGGCCAGTCACTGCAGGGCTGGCAAGCCAAGTTCATCCCCAAGCCATGACTGAATAGTGGTCCCCCAAAGATGTCCACATCCTCATCCCTGAACCTGTGAACGTGTTACTCCATATGGCAAAAGCAACATTGACGATGTGATGAAGTTAGGGACTCTGAGGTGGGAATATGATCCTGGACTAACTGGATGGGCCCAGTCGAATCACAAGGGTCCTTATGACCATACTTATAAGAGGCAGGAGGATCAGCATCAGAGAAGATGTGACAAGAGAAACATAGGTCAGAGTGATACAGTGGCTGTTTTTAAAGATGGAGGAAGGGGCCATGAGCCAAGAAATGCGGGAGGCCTGTAGAAGTCGGAAAAGTTAAGGAAATTGGGCTTCCCTGGTGGCGCAGTGGTTGGGAGTTCGCCTGCCGATGCAGGGGGCGCGGGTTCGTGCCCCGGTTCGAGAAGTTCCCACATGCCGCGGAGCGGCGGGGCCCGTGAGCCATGGCTGCTGAGCCTGCGCGTCCGGAGCCTGTGCTCTGCAACGGGAGAGGCCACGGCAGTGAGAGGCCCGCGTACCCACCCCACCCCCCCAAAAAAAGAAGGGAATGTATTCTCCCCTAGAGCTTCCAGAAAGGAATACAGCCCTGCTGACACCTTGATTTTAGCCCACTGAAACTGATTTCGGACTTCTGACTTCCAGAACTGTAAGATAATAAATTTGTGTTGTGTTAAGGTGTTACATTTGTAGTAATTTTTTACAGCAGCAATGAATAATTAATAAAATGGGGAATCACTGAAGGTCTTCCAGCAGGAGGCCATGGGGATCTGACTAGAAAGATTACACGAAGCACAGCGTGGAAAATGGGCCAGAGTAAAGCAAAAGTGGAAGCAAAGAGGCCAGAAATCCAGGTAAGAGATTATGATGAGCTTTGACACAGCACTTTGCAGCAGAACATAGTTCTCAGAAAACCAGTACCAAGCAGACCAAAAATGGCAAAGAAAAAGGACCCCGTTAACCTCCTGGGGACATGAAGACTCAGGGAAGCCCCTGCTACTGACCTCCTGTCCCACAAAGAGAGCCATGGAGGAGTCTGAGGAGATTGCTGAGATGGCAAAGGGCTTGGACAAACCGAGGACCAGCTGGGAATGGCGTCTGAAGAAGGTCTGAACAAGGTACCACACGCTTGGGGATGCAGACCCTGTTTTATAAAATTGCCCCTTACTCCTCAAATTAATCTCTAAATTTTACAAAACTTACGGAGTTTTTTATTCAGCACTTGAAAACGTGGCTCATCAGAAAGAGCAAATGTGTGAGAATAATCAAGACAAAAATTGAAAGAGAAGGATTATGGGGAAGAGGGAGAATAGTGATATACCTAATCAGAGACCAAAATATAATTAAGCTAAATAATTGAAAGTGTGGTGCTGGCAGGGAAACAGATAAACGGATCAACGGGATGGAAGAGATTCAAGAAATAGACTCATATATATAATAAGAGATTAATATTTGGTAAAGGTGGCATTTCTATTGTCTCATGGTGTTGGAACAATTAGCTATGCTTGGAAAAGAAAGTTTAATAGTTATTTCACATCTTTTACAAAAATGCATTGCAGATGAATTAAAGATATTATCATACATATTAATAGCCATAGAAGAAAATATCAATGAACATTTGTGTAAGCCTTTGTAAGAATGATACCATGTAACAAATTCTTGCCAGATTTGGCGTACAGGAATACTTTAAACATCATCATAAAAAGATAGCAATAAATCTGAAATGCAAAATTCTGAAAATAAAATTTGCAATATTTCTTATAATGTAAAAAGAACTTTTTTAACAAGGAAAAGATGAGCAACTCAATAGAAAGATGAGAAAGGAGCATAAATAGGCAATTCATAAAGAAAATTTAAATGGTCAATCAACTTAGGAGACCACATCTCATAAATAACCAAGGAAAAGAAAAACAATCATGAAATGTCTTTTTTTGTTGTTTGTTTTGCATAAGAGACTGGCAAAAACTAAAAAGAATTCTCAGAGTTGCAAGGGTGTGGAGAAATGGATAAGCCAGGACCACATTATGACTTGTAGGGGCCTTACACACATTTGCCTTCATGGGTCGCATCTCCATAATAAAATATGAAAAAGCATATTTTATGGCTTCATTAGTATGAAAAATATAATCCAGGCTGGATTCACTGTATATTATATATTCATTATTATTATATTCGGTTTTTTCTTCTGATTTTAAAAGAAATTAAGAAGTTTTCATGACCCCCTAAAACTATTCTGGGCCCTAGGCAATGTGCCTTCTGTGTCCAGTGGCTAAGTCAGCCCTGAGATAACTTGACGGAGGCAGTAGGTGTGTAAACTTTTTTGGGTGAGTAATTTGGCAACATCAATCGTTAGACCCAACAGTTACATTTTAAGGAATTTATCCCATAAAAATACTCACACAAATAGGCAACAATACACATATAAGGAAGTTCATTACATCATTCATTGTTTGTAACTGCAAAAAATTTAAAACAGGCTAAATATCCAACATCAGAGGAATGGGTTATCTCTATCACAGCTGAATTGTATGAATTTTTATAATGAGCATTTATTATTTATATTAAAAATATATTTACATTTTGAAGAGTAAAATAATTATTTCTTTTTTTTTTTTTTTTTT